GGCTGGTCCTGTAATAAGAAATAAGATATGAGAATAGACAATTATGTGTTATTGTAAGAGGAGGATAAAGGTTTCCTCCCTGATCCTAGCTCTGACTGGTTTCTGATGCATAGCAAGAGATCACAACTCCATCTTTCTCTGGATCGTAGGAGTTCAGTGACCTTCTGTGATTTCCATCTACCTACGAATTCGTCCTTCTTTTGCTAATGGCACCTCAGCTTTCCCTTGGGTGATACAATCTCCCTTCCTCTTAGACCATGTACCTTGGGGGCGAGAGGATGGGGAGAAGGTGTCCGTGGGCACAGTGATGTGCTCTGGCTGGGCATGAGGCAATGGGGGCCGTTGTCTTCAGACTTCTGGTGAACGGCTGGAGAACATTGCATCCGGCTGTATTTGAAGAAAGGAGTGGTGCACATCTGTGATCCCAGGGGCTCTGGAGGCTGAGGCAGGAGGATTGCAAGTTCAAAGCCAGCCTCAGCAACTTAGTGAGGGCCTCAGCAACTCAGCGAGAACCTGTCTCTAAATAAAAAGTGAAAAGGGCTGGGGATGGGGCTCAGGGGTTAAGTGCCCCGGGGTTCAATCCTTGGCATAAAGACAGAGAGAAGAGGAAAGAGAAGGAGAAGGAGAAGAGGAGACCCTTTGGCCACAATGTTGTCCTTCTGAGTGATCTAAAAGTGAAGGCACCATGTGAAGAATGGATAGCTTTGTATTTGTTCTTTTTATATATACATGACAGAGCATGTATTCTGACATATTATACAGACATGGAGAATAACTTATTCTAATTAGGATCCTATTCTTGTGGCTCTTCATGATGTGGAGTTTCACTGGTCGTGTGTTCATATATGAGCAGAGGAAACTTATGTCCAGTTCATTCTATTGTCTTTCCTTTCCCCATCCTCCTCCCCTCCCTTCATTCCCCTCTGTCTTATCCACTAAACTTCTATTCCCCCACCACTTGTGGTGGGTTAGTATTCGCACATCAGAGAGGTCGTTCAACCTTTTGTTTTTCAGGGGGACACGCCTGTTGCATTCAGCATGATAGTCTCCAAATCCATCCACTTGCTGGCAGATGCCATAAAGACATCCTTTTTATGGCCGAGTAATATTCCATTGTGTATATATACCACCTTTTCTTTATCCATCCATCTATTGAAGGTTACCCTGTTTGGTTCCATAGCTTAGCTATTGGGAATTGATCTGCTATAAATATGGATGTAGCTCATCACTGTAGTATGCTGACTTTTTAATTTGTTTTGTTTATTTAAGACTAAATCCTGATTCACTGAATCACTGAACAACTTCACCCAAATCATCTAAATTCTCTCTACTACAAGGTTTTAGTTTTAAAAAAAAGATGCATGAAGAATATAGCAATCAAAAATTCTGGTTCTTTCAACTTGTAATACAATTGTCAGAATGTACAAACATAACCGTAAAAAAGAACATATAAGAAATTAGTAATAGCATTTCCCATGAGGAATGGGGACTACAATTGGGGAGTTTCAGTTTTCAGTATAGGCCATTTTGCACTCTTTGAGTTTTCATTTTTATTATTGATGCATTTTATCTCTTAGAAATCCTAATTAAATGTTTCTACAAAGACAACTTCTTTGGTAAGTCCTAGTGTACTTATGATTCACCATGAAAGGTCCTCTTTTGAATCGAAAACTTGGTAGCACATAGAGGATCTCTACTTGTTCAGCTCTCCCTGACAAATATGTTAAAATAGCAGTGGTGACACAAACGTTCAACGTTCAGATGCTTCAGAATATAGCAAAAGCTAAATTCTACTCGAAATGCTTTCTGAGTTTTGTAGACAATGCATCTCCTCCCTCATTTTCAGAGTATTAATTCAATCTATCAAGATGCCATCTGTTCCGTGCCTCTAATCCTCAGCTCACCCATTTTGAAGATGAGAAGCGTCAAAGTAATGCATCATTCAAATTGAGGACTTAGGGCGGCTTATGGAATTTTATTTTGTTGCCTCGTCTAGCCCTTCCATTTAATTTCCCATTGTCCCCACATCATCTTATTATGTGGGTTTTTGGCAAATGGAGTTTATCCAAATGACTTCAGTGAACCTTCTGCTCAGAGGAATAAAAATACAATATCTAGAAATGAGAGCTGTAAATATAAATATTAATTGGGTACATTTTGATCCTCCTGTGTTTTCTTTCTCTTTGTAGAGTAATATATTGGGGTCAGATTAGGTGGTCTTTTTGGGGCTACCCTGCTATTAGTTTTCTGCCCCCTTCTGTTCAGGGCCCAATGGCTACACCATTAACAATTTGGATCTCAGCAATCAAATTAAAAAGGACCTCATTGAGATGTCAGGATCTATATGTTCTTTGGAAGTCAAGACCGTGTTATAACTTCACTCCAAGGCAGCAGGAAGTCAGTTAAATAGCATTAAGGATAAAGAGGTTATACTTCACAATTAATTTGAACACAGTCAGGTACTTTACTGTTTAACTCTCATTTAATTCTCTCAATATCTGTTTTAAGCAAGTGCCACCATTATTCCCGTTCTATAGAAGAGAAGATGAAGGCACTCAATGCCCGGCTGAATAGCTTGTGGGAGTCCCCACATGTAGGACCCGGGATCAGAACCCTGACTCCTGACCCCATAATGTATGCTCTTTCCTCTTAATTGTTTCAGACACTAGGGAGATGGATCATGGTTTAAACCAACAGAGAAGGTGGAAAGCTGAATTAGGAGCAAGGTGCAAAGGTAGATCAGAGGAAGGCATGATGAATTCTCTCTAGAGACACCAAAGGGACTCTCGGGAGAAGTGTTCAAGAAGAAAGACAGCGATGCTCCTCGTTCCTAGTGGACAGCATCTAAGGACCATCGAGAGGACAGTGTGCTACAAGCTAAAACGGATTCCAGCCCTGAAACAACTCACGGTTCTCCTAGTGAAAGAACGAACTCTCTTTTGCCCTGGGGATCTGTTGAGACCCGTGGCGCTCTATGCCCACGCAAACTTGACTGCAGCACAGAGAAGCAGGAGTCCTTATTATCTAAGTGGATGTGGCCGATTGTTTGCACGGGGGACCCCAATTCTTTATCCCTTTCACTGCGGAGGTGCAGCCCGCATCCTTCCTCTGCAATCTGGGCTGCCTGGATGACTTGCTTGGCCCATGAGACTTCGGCAGATATGACACCCACAGAAATTTTAAAAAGGCACTTGAGTAACAAGGTGAGGGGAAAATATAAGACGCATTTCCAAGGAAGGGTTGAGAGAAGAAAAAAGTACGGGTGCATTTTGCTGCGTGCTTTCTCTTCTGTCATCAGGAAAATAAATCTAGAATAGTCTGTGGGAGAATGAAAGTAACAGGGAGCCCCGAGGAGGTCTGGCCCCTTCATTTCAGAAAGCGCCACCCTGAAGGAGCTCACAGCCAGTGATCCTTAGGATGGTGACACTGAGTCCAGCCCTGTCAGTCAACTCACTCTGAATCAACTGCCCCCCGAGGCTCGCAAGCGAAATCAAGGCTTATTATTATAGGCTGCTGAGTTTTCCATGAGCGTTTTTCTCTACCTGCAGATAGTTTGAGGGACACAGTAACTGACCTTGCAATTACTCGCAGGGAAAAACTTTGAAATAGTTCGCTCTTCCCAAGGAAGCTCCATGGCCGAGTTGATGTTGCCTAATCACGCAGCATCGTCGTGGGGACAGGTGACGGATGCAGTAGATATCATGCTTTCACAGCAGCATCAGCATCACTGACTCATGGAAATCAGGGAGCGCTATTTATTTTAGGTTACTGATAAAAGCAGAGGCAACAGGCACATAAGACACGCTTTTAAGACAAACAAAAAACACTCTAATAGTAGTAGGGTATTTCCTGTTTATCCCCAAGGGAACTACAGGGTAAGTTACTGCAACCATCTTGTCATGTAAAACCACCAACTAATTTTACAGCAATTTTATCCAGCAGCTAATATGAACGCCATTGGAACCACCAGGTTGAAGTTATGGGTACACTGTAATTTGGCTTTTTAGAGGAAGGAGGATACCTAGGATTGAATCCAGGGGTGCTTAACTACTGAGCCCCATCCCCAGCCCTGTTTTGTATTTTATTTAGAGACAGGATCTCACTAAGTTGCTTAGGGCCTTGCTAATTTTTTTGAGGCTGGCTTTGAACCTGTGATATTCCTGCCTCTGCCTCCCGAGCTGCTGGGATTACAGATGTGCACCACTGTGCCTGGAAAATTAGGTGTCTTTTTTTTTTGTTTTAATTGCTCTTGCAGGGAACATGCAACAAAGTTTATCATTCCATAAGCCTTTGAACTCAGGGAGGAATTATAGTTCCAAGATTAGGAATGTTCCTGAATCTTTTTGTAATCTAAATCAGACCCATCCCTGTATGGGTAAAAACGCATCTCCATTAGTTGCAAACAAAAATTATCATAAATGGTGTGTTTTTCTCCATGTACACAATAGGAAAGGGATAAAAATAACAAATACAAATAGTCCCACCATTAAAATATAGTTGTTGTCAATATACAGATATTTAAAATGTAATCTTTTTCTGATTTTATTTTAGTGATAACACACTTTGAGATACAGTGCTGAGAATTTTACTTTCATTTTTTTTCATAATTATCATGCCCTTGTGAGTTAATATTAACTTTTTTTTTCCCTTTTTGTACCAGGGATTGAACCTAGGGATGCTTCACTTCTGAGCCACATCCTCAACCTTTTCTTACATTTTGTTTAGAGACAGAGTCTGCTCAGTTACTGAGGGCCTCACTAATTTGCTGAGGCTGACCTTGAACTCACAATCCTCCTGCCTCAGCCTCCCAAGCTGCTGGGATTTCAGGCATGTGCCACCATGCCCAGCTATTATCTTCATTTTTGTTTGGAAGTAGTATCTCCATTTCCCACTCCCCATCCTCAGTAAGGAAACAGAACATAATAACGGTTTTGTTGCATATTAATTAGCATCTCCCTGCTGATGCAGAAATTCAGCACATCACATTAGGAGTCTCTCAGTAGTCTCTCAATTAATATTTTATTATGAAAACTCAAACTTACACAAAATTAGGGTGAAAAGCCTCATGACCCCCAAGGCTATCCACCTCCCAGCTTCAACAATGATCTTGTTTCACTGCTAAACTCATCCAAGTTTTGCTCATCTTCTTTTTCTTCAGTTTTCCATGTGAACCCCTCTGGCCATTTACATCTTGAGAATAAATAACTCACCTTGCAGATCCTCAGGGGCAAACATGAACTCTCCTGGGAATTTCAGAGAGGTTACATTGATGCATTAATTTTGCTAACTGTGTAACCTTTTGCCTGTTATAGGGGGTTGTGTTTTGCCTAATGATGCACATGTTTGATGAAGGAATTGAGGTCCAAAAGCAAAGGGTGTCAACACTGTCATGCGTTGTACCTATGAACCTACAAAGATGAGAATAAACAAGATGCTGGATAGTTTGCCAACCAATCTTACGTTTCATCAGATGTGATGAAATGTCCCATTGATTCCTCTGCTTGGGGCATGGTTTTCTGGCTCCAGGAGAATGCATTTCAGGAGCCAGCTGACTGTGGACTATTGGTTCTCTCCCACCCAAGGGCCAGGCTCCTCGTGAGCTGGGCTGCTACGCATGCTGTACCCACCACTCACCCTGAAATGCACCACTGGTTAATATTCATGAAGGCGTCTACCCAGTGGAGTCTGTTGGGGCATATGGGAACCACAGTCTCTGTTCTCAGCAAGTTTGCAGGAAAACGTCTGAGTCTATTTACTCACAATTTGCCGATGTTTTGACATTTCCTTGCTGATCTGCCTCATGAATGAGCGCCTCACGACACTTTCCCAATCAAAGTGATATCCCAGGGAGCCAACAGGAGGAGACTGGCTTTCCCTGTCACCACGGGCCGTCCTGTCTCATTTTCTCACAGAATAAATGTTGCACTCGAGGCCAAATAAAAAACATGGTGGCAGTCTTAAATATCTCCAGTTTCTGTCTCTGATGCATCGTCTCTGGTGATGAGAACACAAAGTAGAATCGCCACCTTGCTCTACAGACTTACCAGCAGAAGGTAATGTTTTCACTTGGGTCCTGGGGGACATTGATAAAGACAGCATTGGGATCATACGATTCTGTTTTCCATTTAAAAAGTAAAATATGTTTGCTGTCAACACAATATGAAAACTGTGAAAATTATAAAATCTACAAGGAGAGACTACTGCTTTGATCTCACCCTGCAGTTCGATTTATTTAACTTTCTCCTTAGAATGAATTATTCTTCCTTCGGTTGTATATTTCTGGCTATTTTTCAATTTTCAAATATAGAGATATTTCCCGAGCTACCATGGGAGATTGTCCGGACAAGTCTATCATAACTGGAAAATATCATAAGTCGCCAATGCTTTTGACACACACCCCAGCGACCCAGCCTCACATCTTAGCTACACAACATACTTTAGATACTTTAGGGGACCCACTCTTTCCACTTATGAGTGATTGTGCAGGTGACTGGGAGCTGCTGCCACTCAGCATCTAGAGAAAATAGCTTACTGTCCTGCCAAAGATCAAATTCAGAAGCTGAATATAATTTCGACCCAATGTTTCTTGTCTTTGCATTGTTGTAAAGCAAATGATGGAAAGTCAAACCATTGTAGGATGGAGACTGTAGACTAGTGTGTGTGTGTGTGTGTGTGTGTGTGTGTGTGTGTGTGTGTGTTTGTATGTATAGATATACACAGTGTAAGAGAAACAGATGAACAAATCTATTCACATATGTATGTGGTTCTTTTTGCATAATGTGTTAAACCGTAGATGCCACTGATGGTACAATATGTCATTATTTTTTTTTTTTTGAACGGCATCGAGTCTGTTGCCTGGTCAATGACAATTATAAGACACCAACAATTATAAGATGATAATTGTGAGAATATGAGAAATGAACATCTTGAAATCAATGAACTATGTCATTGTTTTGTGTCTTTTCCCCCATGTAGCAGTATAGCGTGGATATATTTTCACTTCAGTGCAAATAGATCCATTTGTTTTCCAACCACTACATATTTTAGCATATTTAGCTGTCCCACAATTTATTTAGCTGCTCTCGTATTGTTGCACATTCAGGTTGCTTCCAAATTTACTATGAAAACAGCACTGAGTGAATATATCTCACTACAAACTTTGGAATTACATATGTGAAAAGTTTGGAAAACAGATTACTGAAATTGTAAGTAAGGGCAAAATATTATGAACCAGTAGAATTGTTAAAAATGCTTCTTTTAATCATACCTTTATTATATTGATTAATTTCTATGTGGTGCTGGGGATCCAACCCAGTGCCTCACATGGGCTAAGCAAGTGCTCTGCCACTGAGCCACAACCCAGCCCAGGAACCAGTAGAATTTCTAAAGATATGGAGAAAATAGAAGCTGATGTTCTTATTCCCCATTTTCCAGTACTTTCCAGCAGAGAGTACTCAAGTGACGTATGGATGCAATTGACTTGTTCAGGCTAGTGTGGTTAATGAAAGGCAGAGTAGGTGGCCACGTTTTCTCAGTCTGGGACAGTACCGCCATTTCTCACTACCTAAGAGGGATTGGTTCCAGGATTCCCCATGGATATCCGAATCCACCATTGCTCAGGACCCTTATGTAAAGTGGTGGTATTTGCATACAATCGGTACACATCCTTCTGTATGATTAAAGATTACTTATAATACCTAATCCAAAGTCAATGTGGGGTAATAATTGTTACACTGTATTGTTTAGGGAAAAATGACAAGAAAAAAAGGTCTGTGGTGATCAACACGATGCAGGCATCACAGGCCAGTGGTCTGCGGTTGATTGGGTCTGGGGGTAGGGAACTCAGGGAATAGGAGCGACAACTACCCCCTCAGCCCCACACTCTGCCTCCTTGGTCCTTTTTGCTACAAATTCATTTTGAAAAAAGCACAGACTCATCAGCGAGTTTTACAATCAGGCATTTTAAACCCTTGGAGAGAGAGACTCATTTTTTTCCAAGGTTCCGAGCCTGACATTTATTTGAACAGCTTGCACTTTGTGGGACATTTAATGACCTGTGATGGCAAAGACATCTAAATTATTTGTACACATATCTGAGCAATCAGATTCGAGGCTGATTGCTCTGGTGCGGTAGAAGCTGTTTCTTCTCTGTGGGAGGCATGGGGCTTCTGGTCCTACGGTGTGATTACCTGGGAGTTATACGGAACTGCATGGTCCAGATTTGGTGGTCTGTTCCAATTTTGTGGGCTTTTTTTCTTTCTTTTTAGTTGTAGATAGACACAATACCCTTATTTTACTTGTTTATTTTTATGTGGTGCCGGGGATCCAACCCAGTGCCTCACGCATGCTAGGCAAGTGCTCTACCATTGAGCCATCACCCCAGCCCAAGTGGATTTTTCTTATTCCTCTTTTCATTAGTAAGGAAGAAGAACCAGCGGGGACCTGGGTGATCACATAAAACCAAGCAAATCTTGCTATCATCACACTCTTGCAGTGTTCATCAGAAATAAGAGTCTATTTAAAAACCCCTATAATGATCCTGATTGACAGCCAACATGATCCAAGTCTCAGAGCAGCGCTTCTCAAATGCTAGTCTGCATATAAATCCCTGCAGTTCTTATTAAAATGCAGTTTCTAATTTAATACATATAGCACAGCATTGAAATGCTAGACTTAATGCCCCAAGTCATGCAGATGGGCAGGTCCACAGATTCCACCTTGAGTAACAAGGTGCCAGATCAGGGGTCAGCCAAAATATAGCCTGTGACTCAAATTCTGCCCTCTGCCTGTTGTGTAAATAAAGTTTTATTGGAACACAGATATGAACATTGGATAATATATTGTCTGTGGCTATGTTCCCCTGTAGTTTTTTTATTTGTTCTTTTTAGATATACATGACAATAAAGTGCATTTTGACATATCATATATATATGGAGTCCAACTTGCCATTCTTGTGGTTGGACATGATGTGGAGTTTCCCTGGTTGTGTGTTCATATATGAACAGAGGAAAGTTCTGTCCCATTCACTCCACTGTCTTTCCCATTCCCATCCCTTCCCTTCCCCTAATCCCCTTTGTCTAATCCAGTGAATTCTATTCTTCCCCTCTCTATCCTCCCTTTTTGTGGATTAACATCCACATATCAGAGAGAACATTTGGCCTTTGGGTTTTTGTTAGCTTATTTCACTAAGCATGAGAGTCCCTGGCTCCATCTATTTACCAGCAAATGCCATAATTTTATTCTTATGGCTGAGGAATATTCCATTTGTGTATAGACCACAGAGAACTTATGACCTGCAAAGCCTCCAGTATTTACTATCTGGCCCTTCGCAGAAAACATCTGCTGCTTCTACCCTAGATGATTCCTTTGGCAGCAAATACTTGCTACTCAAGACAGATTTTCAACATCCATCCAACCTGCCCCACACATTTACCTAACACTTACTATAGGCTGGACATCGTGCTAGAGGATGCTATTGTGAACAAAATGTAATCTCTGCTTTCATGGAACTTGTACTGTCTTTCTTTCTCAGTATTCATGCAAGTGACTCCGTTCTCTAAACCTCAGTTTACTCACTTGTAAAATGGGGGTAAAATACCTACTCCTAGGGTTGTCGTAAGGAGAGTTCTAGGCACCTAGGAAGCACTAAAATAAAGGTTGTCTATTGCTTTACTTTTATATTATCTTTCTTTCTTTCTAGATTTCAGGAAAATGAGCTACTTCACACTTGGTGATTGTGTGTGTGTGTGTGTGTGTGTGTGTGTGTGTGTGTGTATACGCACCCATGCACACACACCCAAGTGAACACCTTCACTCTCTTCCTGGCTATTCATAGGACGAGGTTCAAGGTGACTTTTCCTTCAGCCTCAAAATAAAAGTTTAACAATTCACTCAGAGCTGCTGACATCAAAATCTTTCTTTGATTCTGGGACCAAAGCAGAAGAGTGTTTCTGTTTCCTGAAAGGAGCCTTTCGGTGTTTCTCTAGTGGCTTAATCTTTCATCAGGGAGGTGCTGGTGGTAACATGGCCCCTGGTAGGGGAGGGTGAGGAGATGAGAGAGGACCTTACTCTCTCAGCAAGGGGGACAACCTTTGATGAGATTAACTAACAGCTCCCCAGGGCCACCACACACAGCCACTATGCTAAACAGCTGAGATGAATTCTTAATTCACTATTTACTCAATTTCAAAGGCTTAAAGAAACAGAAAATTCTCTTTGGGTCATTGGAAGTCTGCCTGCTTTTTTTTTTTTAAATGTCCTTTTGTATCTATATAGATGTGTAATAGTCCATATATTCTTTATAGTCAGGGATGGCATGGGCTTTCATTTTGGTTCCTAAGAAGCAGACCTTGAAGCAAAGATTCAAGTGTAAACAGTCTATTTAGAAAGTGAGAGAAGCAATGAGGCAGGGTTGGGGGGGGATGAGACAGGGCAGTGCAGGCTGTGAGATTCGGATATGCTGTCCCTAGGTGGGTAGCATCCAGGCGCCACTAGAGTTGAATCCTACTGTGGAACTCTGGGGAATTGTGTGAAGCCTGGGGGCTGAGGGTGCTAGAGGGATTGTATGCCCATGGTTCATTTGTTGGCCAAAGGCTCTTGGTGAGGTCCGTGTGAATTTTCTGGCATTTCTGACTAAAGACGGGCACCCACTGTCCACCACAAGAAGTCAGACTACATGGAACTGGGAAGTCCTGCAGGAATAGCGGGAAGGCTTAGCCCTCTCTACTTCCCATCCCTGAAATCTGTACAGGCTAGGGGCTCCCCGAGGCTTGGCTGTCCTGTTGTGGAGGAATCTAAACATGAAAGCCCAGATAAGGTCAGAGGACAGCATTGAAACGTCTTAGAAATTTCATCTTCTGTGGGAAGAAAAAAAAAAATGAATGCCAGAGCATCCTTCATGGAATAGAGAGATTTGAAGACAAAGAGCAATGGCCCTGAGAGTCTGGGTGGAAGAGGACAAGCTAAAGATACAGAAAAACTGAGGTTCGGTTGTAGTTTGGATCTGCAAAGTGGTACACAGTCTCTTCTACCCAGAGGTGGGGCTTTGAGAAAATGAGTGGATCCGGAGGGCTTGACCCTCATCGTCAGTGGGTTGGTCCATTGATGGCTCAATGGACTACTGGGAGGTGGGCTGGGTTGGAGGTTAGAGGTGGCAAGTTCACTGGGGATGTGTCCTGGAAGGGTTCATCTTCTTTCCAGCCACTTCCTCCCTCCTTCCTTCCTTCTTTCCTTCTCCTCTTCCTCCCTCCTCTTCCTCCTCCTCTTCCTCCTCCTTCCTCCCTCCTCCCTCCTCTCCTCCTCCTCCTCCTTCCTCCCTCCTCTCCTCCTCCTCCT